CTCCGCCTCTCGGTGAGATCTCTGCTTCGATTCCGATGCCTTTCTACCTCACTTTGCACCGAAATTGACACTCCAGATTTCGTCAACAATCATCTCAACGGATCAATCCAAAGCAACTCCAACCAAAAGCTAATCATCAACACAGCATTCGCGGAACCCACTGATTTCTACATTTCTGGTCTTGATGACGACATCGGAGGCGCCTTCCTTCTCGGCAACCCATTGAGATCTCAGCGTCACTACACCATGGAATGTGGTTCTTGCAATGGGTTGTTTCTCTTGGGAATGGTTGTTAATTACAAAGTCATCGATTTTGCCATATGGAACCCATTCACTAGGAGGTTTAAGAAATTGCTGCCTTGTCCAGTGCTAACACTTCCTGGGTACCAAAATTTGTTGGGTTCTGGTTTAGGCTATGATTCTGCTCTTGATGACTATCAGATTGTGATGACTTCGAAGTTTAGTAACCCCAACAGTGTTTCTTTTCAAGTCTGGGTTTTTAGCTTGAAATCAAATTCCTGGAGACGTAGTCAATATGTGGAAGATGCACTTACGAAATGTGTGGGGCTTTTTGCAAATGGTGCTCTGTACTGGTGATATAGAAATAAATTTGTTGGTTTTGATCTCGCAAATGAGGTGTTCTTTGACCTCCCTAAATTGACTAATTGTTCTGGCCTGGCAACTGTCTGCGCTCGTATCCTGACACCTTTAGGAGGTACCCTCTGTACTCCTGTGATACATCCCGAGCATAAAACTGTAGAGTATTACTTGCTTGTTAGTGATAAGGGCGGAGAAGTTGCATCGGGTAATTGGAGGAAAGCATTCACAGTGGGGGAAGAGGAGATCAGTAGGTGTGGCGGTTGCTATAGTATTTACCCTCCTTTGCCTTTTGCTTATTCCAAAGTTGGGGATGGCATTCTGCTTATAAAAGACAATGGGCTTTCTTGGTATAACCTTGAAAAGAAAACTAGTGGAAGGGTGGAGATTCCTGGGATACCTAAGGGGGTTGTCATTGGAAAACACCATGTTTGCTGTGAAAGTCTTGTTTCTCTCGGCAACGATAGTGCATTTGATGGGGCAGCAGAGGAAGTCATGGTAGATGATATATTCCCTTTTTAGAAGGTCAAAGTTTTCAGAGTGAAGTATCTGTTGTAAATAAGTAAAGAAACGGTTATGTTTTTGGTTAGCAAAGATGACAGTATTTCAATGAAATTTCATTTCAATCCCACTTTTGTTTAGCCCTTCTTGTAAGTCCTAGTTAGTAGCTTTTATGGGATTTTGTGTGATTTGAAATGGGGTACGGAAAATTTCCTTTAAATCCTAGGTTTCCAAGAATTTAAAGTGTCCATTTATCCCTTTTATAATTTAGATTAGAACTGCCAGCTTCATGCAGTGGATTTTATGGCCAAAACAAAAATGCGTTGAATATTATTTTGCTCTTGTTTAGGTATATATGTGGGTACTCTGGCGCTGCATGTTATTTGATTACAGGCTCTTTTCTAGCTTCTTTGAATGTTGGCCACTTTTCCTAAGTGTTGTTTGGTCACAGGCTATACGTACACTGACATCACGATATATGGATCTTTGAATGGTCTGATTCTCTTACATATATTTGTTAAAGGATCAATTTTTTTGATTACACAACCATGGAGGTAAAACATGCCTTATGGAAGCCATTCACCAGGAGTTATAAGAACATACCGCAGTATCCAGGTTATGATCAATTCAGTAGTTGTGGTCGAGGGTCTGATTCTGCACTTGATGACTGCAAGATTGTGATGATTTCAAAGGTTTATCCCTCCAATAATCATCTTTGTTCTTTTCCCATCTGGGTTTTTAGTTTGAAGTCAGATTCTTGGAGAAAAATTCAAGATGCACCACTGTGTTTTCTCATTCTTTACTCTATCGAAAAAGATAATCTTAGCCATTGGTTGGTAGCTTCGCAAATGGTGCTCTGTATTGGGAATTTGATGATTTAAAGATTCTTGGTTTTGAAGTTTCAAAAGAGGTGTTTTTCAACATACGGCAAGAGTCCCGTTTTGGTGTTAAATACCATAATGGTATGGTAGTTCTCGATGGTAACCTCTAAGGTGTTAAAATACCTGCTGACCATAAGACTCGAGTTTAACTTGCGTGAGTGATGAGGGTGGAGAAGAAACCGGAGGTAACTGGAAGAAAGCATCTTGCGGTGAAGGGAAGTTGACTGAGTTTAATGATTTTCTAGCTTGGCCTTTGACATATTCAGAGGGGGATAGCATTCTGCTTGATAATGGAAAGATTTTTTGGTATAACATTGAAAAGAAAAGAAGACACAGGGTGGAGATTGCTGGGATTTCTCCGATTCATAATCACTTCTGCTATATTTGCTGGGATAGTGTCTTGTTTCTCCTGGCAATGTTGATGCATTTTGATTGGAAAGCTGATGAAGTTCTGGTGGATGAATGTAATGAAACGATGTATAATATTCTTGCAGGAGGCATAAGAAAGGTTGTTCAGTTTTTTTCTTATTTCTGACACAAGATACTGCAGAGGAATGTATGAGACTGCAGGATTGAGACATCTAGGGATATTGAAATTGATTGCTGCAACTTCTACCCTTTGTCTTTTTGCTGGAAATGTGGCTTTCTTTATTTTTTATTTTTTATTTTTTTCTTTCAGCTTTAGTTTTCTACTACCATGCCTATGCCATGGCATGATACTGGTTTAGCATTAATGCCAAAAGGTTTTGTTTTGCTTTGTTTGTTTGTTT